AAAATTTGTAATATAAAGTATTTTTAAACATTTTTGAATATAAATATTCTCGATATTTCGTAATATTTCGTTGCTTCGTATACCATTACTGCTTATCATTCTACTATCATTATGATAATATCGAGAACTGTATGGGAAAGAATGATATAATACTATGATATAATATTTTTACTTACAAACATGCTATATTATGTGTTGTTGGGAAAGCATGTGTCATCAAGATTATGGGAAAATAAACTCTTATTGGAAAATGTGTTGTAGTGTTGAAAATGATGTTGTATTATTGGTAAGTGTATTGCAGTATTATACATGGATTTATTCTAATCGAATAGAAAAAAAAGGAAAAATTGAATTATGTCGGATTCATCATCAGATGAGGATGAAACGGTGCCAACGCAATTAGTTGAGGAACAAGATGACGACATAACATTTCAAAAATTGGTTAGCATTATTACCGTTCATTGAAATATGTTTTTGTTCGTTGAAATTAAGACATTATTTGACTATTATTATTTTTTCCTTATATTTTGAAATCCATGCTCAAAATGCAAACGATATTTCGTTATCATGTGGAATATGAAACGTTATGTTTTCCAGTTAGGAAAGCGTTATGTTTTTCAGTTTTTCAGTTACTAAATGTCCGTTATTCGGAGGGAATAGAGAAAATCATGAGATTTTAAGATGAAGAGAAAAAAAGTTTTGTAATACCGTTCCTAGAAATTCGAAAATATCGGTTCTTACCTAATGTAATGAACATTAAATAGCAGATCTTTGGAAGGAGTTAAAAGGTTTGCAAGTTTGTCATACCACATAATATTGGCATTATTTTAGGAGAATTTTCCGAAAGAAGAACGTACTTTGTGGACGTTCTTTAAAAAAATACAATCAATGATTGTCATCAGTGACCATTAGTGAAATTATATTATTAAGAAGTCATGGGTATGAATTTAGTGTGCATTTAGTGTGGTCGCTTGAACATTATTTTTGTTTTTAGGGTGTAACAGATGTTCTTTGTGAAGCATGCGATCGCTTAAATTGGAAAAAACCTACGAAAGTGCAAATTGCAGCTCTACCACATGCATTTAAAAAACGTGATATAATTGGTCTTGCTGAAACGGGGTAGATCTTTTTCCAAGTTACTTTTATTTTTGAACATAAAGCAAAAAAGTTTTAAGTCATTATTTAAAAATGTTTATCTTTGCTTGAAATATTCTTTTACTAACGTAATGCAATAGTAGATAATGTAAGGTGATATTGTATTTCAAGTAAGGTAAGGTGACATGACATTTCGTATTTCACTGTCTTCTTAACCAGTGGATGATATCGAGCTGTTTTCCTACACTAATGATATGAACATAAAATTATGTATCATTTTATTAAAAAGATAAGCTAAACTGTTTTAAAATAGAAGCGTTTTGGTGAAAATTGTAATCACTTTTAACTTTTATTTGTATTTAGAAATTTGAAGGAAACCCATTTTTAGATCTGGTAAAACTGCCGCATTTGCTATACCGATATTGCAAGCTTTGCTTGAAACTCCACAGAAATTATTTGCTCTCGTGCTTACTCCAACCAGAGAATTAGCTTTTCAAATCGGCGAACAATTTGAGGCCCTAGGTGCCTCTATTGGAATCCTTATTGGTGCGTTAATCCTTATACAGCAAATTGTTTTTTCTTTGAATCTGTTGAAGTGATTCTCATTTTTTTGCTTTTCAGCTGTGATTGTTGGTGGTGTAGATACAGTGACGCAATCGTTAGCCCTTGCGAAACGTCCTCATGTCATAGTTGGTAAGTTCTAATATTAAGACATCGTTTTGTTCACAAATTTCTTGATTTTGATCAAAGTAAAATTTAACCTTACACTTAGATAATAAAATGATGTTTTCCAGCTACACCTGGTCGATTGGTAGACCATTTAGAAAACACCAAAGGTTTCAATTTGCGTGCACTGAAATATCTAGTGATGGATGAAGCTGATCGCATCTTGAATATGGATTTTGAAGTAGAATTGGAAAAGATTTTAAAAGTTATTCCAAAAGAAAGAAGAACATATTTGTATTCGGCTACGATGACTAAAAAAGTTAGTCCTGTTTCAATCTGATGCAAATGTCATTTAACGGTGTTACCGCTCTTGGATGTAGCTGTTTCAGGTCTTAGTTTCGCAGAATTCATTTTTTTTTTCTACACACATTTCTGTCGAGTGATTCTATTCTTCTTTGATATTATTTCTTGTAAAGTTAATAATCATTTCAAGAGAGCACAGTAACATCGACTTCCTTTAACTTACGAAATCAATAAATATCAGCCTGCTGAAATGGGTTTTTAATAAATTGAGGTTTTGTTCAGTTTAACTCGGTTTTATTGCATAATCGTATAAATTATATTTTCATTTAAATATTCCTGCTCTGTAATTTGCCGGATTTCAGGTAGCCAAACTGGAACGTGCCTCGCTCAATGATCCGGTCAGAATAGAAGTCAGTTCGAAATACCAAACTGTTGACAAACTGAAGCAGTACTATATCTTCATACCATATAAGTACAAAGTAATTATTTGGATCTTAAAACTTCACTTAGAAAAGAGAAAATCAAATATAACAGTCAATATTTAAGAAAGTATATTTTCCTTAAATTCATGTTATTATAGGAAGCCTACCTTATTTACATATTAAATGAAATGGCCGGACAGACAGCGATAGTATTTTGTTCCACATGTGCATCAGCTTTGAAAACAGCATTAATGCTGCGGAAGCTTGGATTTGGTGCTGTTCCTTTACATGGCCAAATGAGTCAGGTAGAATTCCAGACATTGATTTTTTCTTCATATTATCTAGTTTGCAATTGCTTTTTTTTTTTTTTTTGATTGTTTGAATAAAAAAACTCAAGTTTAAAGTGTCCGTCACATATAATTTGTAGGCAAAACGATTGGGCTCATTGAACAAGTTCAAAAGTAAAGCTTCCACAGTTCTTGTTTGCACCGATGTTGCATCAAGAGGTAACTATTTTGAATTAAAATTTTGTAGAAAAAATGTATGTTCAGTGTATCAGTATATGTCATGATTTATGTGCATACTGTCAAGATTTATGGATAGATGAAGTATATCATGAACTAATGATTTCCTTATCTTTTTCTGTTTTTTGGCTTAATTTAATTTAACTTGCTTCAGGCATTTCTCATTGTTTGTTTCGCTCAATTATTAACTTCTGTAAATATTGTAATTGCTTGTCTTTTATTGAAGGATGGATTTTTACAGAAAGTGGAACTTTGCATGGCAGCACTTGCATCTTTATTCATTATATCCCGCATAACTTCCTTTGCTTTTCTTATGTAGATATGATCATGTCCTGTAGTCACCTTTATTGATAAGCATCTGTTGCTACTTGCAGATTAGATAATTTCATGTGCATTGTGATCTAGATTTTACCGGTATATATTATTGCTTATTTTGTTTTCTGACCTTACTAAAAAGCGATAAATTGCAGGTCTCGACATACCACATGTTGATATAGTGTTAAATTATGATGTCCCCACGCAATCTAAAGATTATGTTCATCGTGTTGGACGCACCGCTCGAGCTGGTCGATCGGGTGTTGCTATTACATTCGTTACACAGTACGACGTTGAAGTTCGTTGTTTTTTATGTATTTTATTCTAAATAATTTCTTGATACAAATATGTGTTTAATGATTCGTTCAAATTCTTCTATCCTTTCTTTTGGTTCAGAAAATTGTGCTTACCGATTGTAAGGCTAACGTGCTTTTTTTTTTGTTAACTATTCCAATTTTTATCCTTAAGAAAAGCTAGTGTTTACTGCCCTTTGGAACACGTATTATAGTATTTCTAACTGCGTAATTCCAAATTGTAGTTTTTTTTTTTATAATTATACAGTTTAGATTTATCAGAAGATCGAACGTTTGATCGGCAAAAAACTTCCACTTTTCGAAACAGTAGAAAATGATGTGATGTTACTTGTGGAAAGAGTTGAGGAGGCTCAGAAGCTAGCAAAACAGGTATGCGTTCTCATCCTGATTTTGATACTGTTGACAAGTAATATACAAATTTGGTCTCGAAGTTCCGAAGCTAATTACTTTCGAGCATTTGATTTAAGGAAATGAAGGAGATGGAGGAGAAAAAGGGTAGGAAAAGAAGACAGTTTGACGACGATGATGATGAAGTGAACGATGCAGAGGAAAGTAGTGCTTTTAGGAAAAAATTGAAGCGAAAGCAAAAAGGAACTCACAATGGAAGAAAGAAATTCTGATATTTTAAAGAGTACTAATAGTATTACAATAGTTTTTCACCTGTAAAGTTTTGATTTGTCGGGGTGATTCGTTACCCATTTTAAAAGGCACCATTATTCCCTTCCATCTTTATGGAATTACGAATTGTTTTTTTTTTAACTTGTTGGTAAAAATGAACACAGGACATTTTTTCAGATGTTTACGGTCTTTTTGTCTCATTCTTCATATATTTTTTGTTTTGTCAATTTCTGTTTATCTTGCAAATAAAATAACAAGTTGTAATTATTTCCCAATATATCATCTGAAAAATGTCATCCAACTTAATGTTGTCATTTAAGTGATGATGTTGGTACGACTGCATGTCAATAATAATCCTTTAAATCTAACAGTTAAATTGCTCGGCTTTAACCGGCTTAATAAGGGTTATCACTTTTTTTGCCGGACTTAGTTTCCAAGAATTCTAAAGAAACTTCCGAAAGCCATGGTGGTCATCGGAAATGCCATGAATTGGGGACGATAGTGATTTGGAAGGTAATTTTTTTTTTGTTTCATTAATAAGTCTGTCATGAAGGAAATCCATTAGTGGTAATTACCACTGAGAAAGCTAAAAAAATTTGTCCATCCAGAAGTGTTTTTGTAAATTTCCACTTATGTAAAAATGACGTGGTCGTAATTTAACCTTAAAATGAATAATGATATTGTGATGATTTATCAACTGGTTTATCCTAATATTATCATCAAGCAAATACATCTCAATATTATCATTGCTGTTGAAGCAGGTTGAAATTGATGATAATAGGATTGCCATATTCGTCATCGTAACGATTCCAATATGAAGATCGATTCGACCATGCAACAACCAATTCATTTTTTGGTTCTACTGTTTTACATGGCCAAAATCCTTCCCTAAAATTTAATTTGAATATTATCACACAAATCTTAACATTGTAGATGTTAATACATTATCACTAAAGAAGGTCAAAATTAGTGATAATAGGATGATATTACCGCATTTGTCATTGTAATGATTCCATTATAAAGATTGCTCCCATAATGCAATAATTAACTTATATTTTTCATTCTGTTGTCTTGTATAGCCACAGTCCCTCCCTTCCTAAAAGTTGCATTTGACTAAGACAATAGTAGTATGATTAAGTTTTTAACTTATTAAACCACTACTACTAACCATCTTATCTTCCTCTACCTATAATATAGCTATTCTGTCTTAATTATTATTTTAATAGTTCTATAATAAATCTATTCTATAATGTCACAAAACTGTATGAAATAGATTTTATTATTAATTTTAACAATAAGAATATTACATAGCGATCACAGGTGTACAGTCTCGTTATGAGAAATATTTTCGATAGTGTTGTTTAAAATGAAAAATTTTAAAAAGTTTAAGAATTTAGAACTAACTGAATGATTTTTTGACTAAGACGTAGTTCAATATGCTTCCCAAGACCTTGTCTTCGATGTTTTTCATGAACAAAATGATGATGAAAGATACCGTTTATGTTAAATATTTCATAAGCTACCGGTTCTCCTTGATGACGTATAATCACATTTGGTAGTATTCGTAATTTTTCTCTGTACGAATAATTAATTAATTATATTGTTGAATTGAACATAAATTAGACACATTTTTATAAATTTCTATTCTTTAACATTATTAATTCAAGGACTATTTGTAAACTTAAAAAAAGCATTTTCTCTAACAATGATAATGTGATAATATATATTATCACATTAGAGAAAGTTAGTTTACTCTCTGTTCTAAGTAATAAGTGAAAGTTTATTTCATTTAGGATTAGTATGATAATATATAGATCTATAAAATTTGATTAATTAACTGAGAAAAAAAAAATTAACAAAAATTTTGTAAATAAATTTACCTAAAGTCAACATTTCTATATCTAAGCAAATTTACCTAATTTGGTAATAATCAAAAATATTACTTATTTAGTTTACTTTCTACTGATTATAGTAAATTCAAACTTATAGTAAATTCATTTTTTAAAAAAAAAGATAGAAAAGAAATTTACGCAAAACATCGACAGTCTCCTTTATCAGCATATTGCCATGTATCATTGATTATCAATGCATCTTCTTCTGGTTTATCATCATTATAGTGATAATCAGATGATGGTAAAGATAGTTTCTCCTTCAACACTACTTCTTGCTGCTTTTCATTCATGTAATACATATACGTTGGATACATATTTTCTGTGTATGAAGTTTTTGATTTAATATAAATTGAAATCTGTAACAGTATTGTTATCAGTTATCAATAGTTATCAACAACAATTTATCATTTCAAAGTGTAGCAAAATCAGATGATGAGAGTTAATAGTAATAGTTACAATAATAACACATTTATTTAGAGTATATCAATAAACAAATCATCTAAATAACTTTTAAAATCGATCTTTGATCTTTTTTCTTCCATCAAAATTTTCCTTTTTTTTTCTGTCATAGAAAATATTCATGACAATAATAAATGTAACTTTTATTCTATTATTTTATACTATTTCTGATAACTTTATCACCTTATCAGATAAATAATTTGGATTGATAATAAGAATTTCTTTAGGTAATTCGATTAATTTGGTAAATTGATTGATTGCATCCAAAAATTCATCTTTTTTCAGCCATGGTAAACTCCAAATAAGCAAAAATTTGCTGAAATTAAAATGATTAACTTTCATTTAAATTTCATTTAAATTTCATTTTTAAATTTCATCTAAATTCACTTTTACATCAATCAAAAATTATTAAACTAACACTCTGAAAGGATCATCGCCCAGTAAGAACCATAATTTAGATTCCGTGAATGGATAACCGAAAATGCGAAATTTTGCTGCTGGATACCTATAAATTTAGCATAATCAAGTTTTAACATTTTTAATTTTTTTTTTTAAATTTTCCATAATTTTCCCGCATTTCAATTTTTTTTTTGTCCACAATAATTTCAAAAAAAAAAATCAAAAAAAAATTCAAAAATTAAAACTTTGATTTCAATAGGTACAAATGATATTGTCTTTTCCGGAAGAAACTTTTTTCCAAATGAAAACATCATTTTGTGTTCAAATAGTTCAAAACATCAAACCAATTAATTTAGTAAGCAATTTGATGACAAAAAAAAAAAAAAAAATTTTTTATGAAATTAAATGAAACGGTTTGACGACTAAAAATTTTTGCAAACCTGTTTTGGAAGGTCATATGCAACCGTACGTAGCTCACATGTCAACCCGAGCAATCCCTAATACAACTGAGAAATAAAAAAAGTTATTCAAAAAATTCTTTTGTCTAATTAACTAACTAAATTGAATTTTTTTTTTTTTAAAAAAGGGAAAGAAATATGAAGAATCATTAAACATTAAAAATTCCATACAATATAATGCTAATTCTAATTTTAATAAATAAATAAATAAATATGCTTCATTTCGATACTTAAGTTTCAAATTTGAATAATAAAATTTCAAACTTAATTGCACATCGTTTTCTTCCAGCAATAAAAGAAAAAAAAAACTAACTGTTAGAGAAACTTAACTTTTAATTCGATGAATTCGCACAGTATTGTAAATTGGTATCATATGAGGTGAACAATTCATTATCATCCGAAGTGCTTCATCCAAATCATCGTCCGAAATAAATTCACGAAGTGTACACATTGTAGTAAATTAAATAATTCAACAATGAAACTAAAAAATTGAACAATTAAAATTTATTGTCGCTGTATATTATTATTTATTATTGTTATTTTAATTTTTAAAATTATTACAAAAACAATGCTAGCAAAGATTATTTAATTTTCATTTCATTTTATGCATACAATATGAAAATTATTAATTTCCTAAATAATAACTGCAAATAATGGATATTGAATATTTTCAATTAGCATAATTAATATTTTAGTGATAAATACTATCAATCAGTGATTAGTAAGTCGGACTATAACTTATCATTGTGATTCTTATCATTCTTTCGTGATTACTTCTTTGATGCAATAATATGTGACAATTTATGTCGGAAATCTTTGATGGAATTATGGAATGATGAGAAAGGGAAAATATGACATGTTATTGATATGATGTGATATGATATGATATGATATGATAGTATTATTGTCAACACTCAGTCTTTTTTCTTTCTTTCACTCACTCTCCCTCTCTCTTTCACTCTCTCTCTCTCTCTCTCGTTTATTCAATAAAATAAATAATACTTTCTTATTTACTTTAAAAAAAAACAGAACTTTTGGCTCAAAGGGCATTATTACATTGTCCAATATTTACAATGCCAAATTCATACACATACACATACACACACACACACACACACACACACACACACACACACACACACACACACACACACACACACACACACACACACACACACACACATGCACACACACATACACATACATAAGCAAACAGACGAGTAGATAGAAACACACATACGTATGTACACACACAGAGACATACACACACACATACATACACATACACACATTCAGCATTCAAACTAAATAGATAGAAGTTTGGAAAGGATTGTGTAAACATTTTTCATTGCGAAATGACAGCAACAAACTGATAACAGAAAGTGTTATCGAACATCGAAGAGAAATCATACCGAATACTTATATTAAACAAAGGAATTAATCAAAATATTCATTTCATTTCATTTCATTTCAATTCATTTCATTTCATTTCATTTCATTTCATTTCATTTCATTTCATTTCATTTCATTTCATTTCAATTCATTTCATTTCATTTCATTTCATTTCATTTCATTTCAATTCAATTCATTTCATTTCATTTAATTTCATTTCATTTCAATTCAATTCAATTCAATTCATTTCATTTCATTTCATTTCATTTCATTTCAATTCAATTCAATTCAATTTCATTTCATTTCATTTAATTTCATTTCATTTCAATTCAATTCAATTCAATTCATTTCATTTCATTTCATTTCATTTCATTTCAATTCAATTCATTTCATTTCATTTCATTTCATTTCATTTCATTTCATTTCAATTCATTTCATTTCATTTAATTTCATTTCATTTCAATTCAATTCAATTCAATTCATTTCATTTCATTTCATTTCATTTCAATTCAATTCATTTCATTTCATTTCATTTCATTTCAATTCAATTCATTTCATTTCATTTCATTTCATTTCATTTCATTTCATTTCATTTCATTTCATTTCATTTCATTTCATTTCAATTCAATTCATTTCATTTCATTTCATTTCATTTCATTTCATTTCAAATCAATTCAATTCAATTCATTTCATTTCATTTCATTTCATTTCATTTCATTTCATTTCATTTCATTTCATTTAATTTCATTTCATTTCAATTCAATTCATTTCATTTCATTTCATTTCATTTCAATTCAATTCATTCCAATTTCATTTAATTTCATTTCATTTCAATTCAATTCATTTCATTTCATTTCATTTCATTTCAATTCAATTCATTCAAATTTCATTTCATTTCATTTCATTTCATTTCAATTTCATTTCATTTCATTTTCATTTTCATCTCATTACATTTCACTTTTTCAAAGAGAAAAAAAGGTTGGAAATCTCGTTTTTACTACACTTTTGATTTTCAATTTTTAATCAATAAATTTTACTTACAAAATTAGATGAGAGTTTTAGAATTTAAATAAATTAATGAACGAAAGCAAAATGAAATTTTTTATAAAATGTGAAATATGCTTAAATTTGATATAAAATGATTTGAATTTTTCTTTTTTTTTTGAATGAAAAAATTTTTATATAATAAAATTCTTTTAAATAGTGGAAGAAACAAAAAAAAAAAAAAAAAGAGCTATCATATCAATTTTAACTTTAATCCATAAAAAATCTTTTTTTTAAATATGAAAATTTGTTATATAAATGAATCAATTTCAAACTGTTTTTTTTTTGCAGTTTTAATTCTTTTCTTTTTCCTTTTGCTTTTTTTTTTTCATCATTTAATCTTAGAAATTTTCATACAATAAAAATATCACTACTTTATCAATTTTAGAATGATTTTTTGCATTTTTAATTTAAACATTTAATTATGAATTTCCATCATTGTTTTTTTTTTTCCTAAATTTTATTTCAAGTTAATAAAAAAAAAAAAAGAGTAAAAATTAGATTCAAACTGCAATTTAAACATTGAAGCATTTGTATAATTGATGTATGATCTCTATGAAAAATGTCTTTCGTCTAAAAAGTATGTCATTAAATAGCATTTGTCTTCTTTCTTCATTTTCAACATTTTTTTTTTTTTTTTTCTTTTTGTCAAATGCTTCCGAAAATATCGATCATAATGTCACCGAACCATTCGTATATTATCATCCATTCAAATTGGATGACATCTTTAACAAGTTAGTAGCAACTTTTCTTCTTCTCTCTCTTCCAATTTTCAACTGTCTCTTTCTTCTGTCACATTTGTCACCACTCTTCTCCTCTTTCACATCCCACCATCACATCTCATCTACATACCTCTCCTACCCATGTTACCACATGCTGAGGAAATTGCTACTTTTTATTATTGGTGTATATTTAGTAGTATGTTGATCTTTCAAATACTACAGTTAAATAATTAAACAATATGTTAAAGTATTATAATCTTTTATTTTAGATATTTATTGTCTTTTTTTTAAAGAATTAGAAGAAAATGAGAATATTTCAAAAGTTGCAAATATTTGACCTTTTTTTCTCGATTCAAAAAAATAGGATTTGACAAATTTTTTGCTGTTCTTTTCCCTAGATAGTCTTTCCATTTTCTCTTTTCTTTTTTTTTGATTTTCAAAAAATTTCTTTTTCTTTTATTACTATTTAATCTTTTTTTTTTCTTTTTGTTTTTGTAAAAAGGATAATATTTATTATGAAATAACTTTGCTTTTCTTTTTTTGTGATGTAAAATTTTTTTTCTCGATAATTTTTTATACTGTTAAAATGTGCTAATAAAAAAGAATTGAATTTGTACAACATTCTCTATCTATGAAAGAAAGCAATTGAATTTTTCTCAAACTTGAAATTAAACTCCTTTTGTTAAGATAATTTATTTCTTTTCAAAATTAAATTTAAAAATTGAAAAGGAAAAGAAAAAAAATCTTCCAATTCTATTCTAATCATGAAGAAATTCACATTCTTCTGTAACGTTTTTTAATTTTTTTATTTATTTGTTAGTTTATATATTTATATATAACAAAGACATCTATCTAAACGTGGCTATCTCGAATGATCTTTGAAATTCAGCAAAATTATCTTATTTGTTTGGTTGAAAAAGGATTTACAATGTCAGTTGTTACTGAACTATTAAGTACCCATGTTTTCACGATACATGGGGGTGATTGTCGTCGACTAACAATGGAATGATAAATTCAATAAATTGAAATTGCTCATTTTTCAAATTTATAGGAAAAAAAAAGATCTTGAATTAAATTTCGCTATTTACGAAATGAATGTTTTAAAAATTAATCATAGCTTAATAATTCAATAACAACACTAAAAAAAAAAAAAGAATTTAAGTTTCTTCTCAAAAAATCAAAACAATCGATTAATTTGAGTGAATTTTAAATATCATTTGGTATAGCCAATTCAAATAATCCTATTGAAATAAATGATGAACCAATAATACACTTTTTTTAAACAAACATTTAAATATTTTACTTAAAGAAAAGGAAAAATTAAGCTGTTGAAGAATTTTCCACAATTTTGAGTATTTTCAGCTTTAAGTCAGAATTATTAATTTTCAAAAAAGAAATATATACAAAAATAATACTTTTGAAAAGTTTAATTTTTCTTTGAAATTTTAAAATCAGAAATGAAAACAATCAACTACATAAAATGAAATTCAGATGCACTGAACTATTACAATTCCAAACTTTACATATACTTCAAAGAATGACTCAAATTCATTGAGCTAAAACCCACTCCTCATCCAATGTCCTGAATCACAGTTGACCCTTGACCCAAGAGTGATGGATAACAAACAGATTGAAATGCTACTATCTTTGCTACTCTCTCCTAATTTCATGCTATTTCTCCAAAATTCATATACACTACATATAGCATTTTCAAGTGTTTATCTAGTCTTCTATCATTCTCTGCGCTCTCTCCGCGCTCCAGGCTATTTTTCGAGGATGACTTTTTCATTTGTTATTTCAAGAATTTGCAATGCCTTTTATTTGGAGCACTTGGACATGTGTTGTGTCAGAGAGTGTCATAAGAATAGCTCTGTCATCTCTTCCACCACGATTTCCTGGAGCTCTCCCCCGAGATTTCCTATAATCTTACATAAAGGGATATAGCTGAATATTATAATGTGCTATTCCATTTTACAAAAGAATTTATTGGTGAAATTCGTGTACACTTCATAAAATTTAAATTCCCTAAAAAGATATTTTTACTATTATTTCTTTCATTCGATTCAGTGTTATCTGATCTTTCCCTTGACTTATCACTTTTATCACATCCATCATCTATGATATCATCGTAACGGAAACTTTTGTTTCACATCACATTTTTATTCCATGTGCTACTATCGGTTTTTTTTTTTTTTGGTAAAATTTTTAACTGATTCGAAGTAAAAGTTGCAGAAAGCCATGGATGATGTTTCTGTTGACAAGACTGATTATACGTTAGCAAATTTGATGCCAA